TCAGGGTCACAGGTGCCCATATCCAGCAGTCACAGTGCGAGGGGCGGGGTACACCCTGGACAGGTCGCAAGTCCATCACAGGACCACACATTGAGACAAACGAGACAAGTTGGAGTGCCCATAGAAAACATGCACACTCTAACCAGAAATGTCCCCAGGCCAGGATTTGATCCGGCAACCTTCTTGCTGAGAGGCATCAGCTCTACCAACTGAGCCACCCTTTAAATCGGGTTTATGTCAGTCTCACCAGTCTTCAACTGGACGGAAATGAAGACACGCAACAGGCCGTCTTAGCAGTTAGAGCTAGCTTCAACTAATTTTCTATCCGTTTAGTGTTTTAGCATAAGCTGCCACCAATTGTTTGTGTCTGTTTAGCAGCTTAGCTTCCAATAACTGTTTTTATTTATTTAGCATTAAGCATTAGCTTCAACATTTTTTTAATTCCTTTGTAGCAGTTTAGCATTAGCTTCACCTAACATTTTTTATCTGTTTAGCAGTTAACATAAATTTCCACTATTTTTTATTTATTTAGCAGTAAGCATTAGCTTTCAACATTTTAAATCTGTTTAGTTGTTAATATTTTTTTTGCGAATAGCATTAGCTTTCACTAATTGTTTTTATCTGTTAGCGTTACCTTCCACTAATTTTTTTGTAATTTAGCATTAGATTCCACTAAACTTTTTAATTTGTTTAGTGGGTAATGTTAGCTTCCACTTATTCTTATCTGTTTAGCTGTTTAGCGTTAGCTTCAACAAATATTTTATTCGTTTAGCAATTAGTGCTAGCTCCCACTTTTTTCCCTTATAGTGGGTAGCATTAATTTCCACAAATTTGTGATTTGCATTAGTTTTCACTATTTTTTTATTTGTTTGGCAGCTTACTTTTAGTTGAAGTAAGAATTTTTAGAGAATTATTAATTAAGCTTTTGGTAATCTGGGCCAACCACTGCTACAAACAGATGAAATCATGAACTCAAGGACAGCTTTCCTCATCCTCATCAACATGACCTGCCAGTTTCTTTTGTTTTGAACATCTGTTAGGAACACATCTTTCAGTCCAGCAGTGAACCGTGGATATGAGAAAGAAAAAGTAAAAGTGCAGATTTTGTTTCTGCTTGTCTTCACTAACCTCTCCACTCCTGCAGACTGAGTCAGTCTCTGGCTAAAGAGGCAGATTCGTGCGGTTCGGTGTTTTCCGAGCGGAGAAAACAAAAACAAACAAGAAAAAAAAAACCCCAGCAGAGCCAATATGGCGGTGTGCTTTATATAACATGGCTCGCCTGTAGTGATTGTGCAACGCGGTGCATTTGTCTGGGCTGATGTAAACAGAGCCTCAGTGCCTCTGGAGGCTCAGCTATGTGTCTTGATGCAGCAGTTATGGGCACATGCCCTACTTTCRTAAATCAGAGCTGGGAGGGGAAAAAAAAGAAAAAGAAAAAAAAAAGGAAACAGCGTGATGGAAAAAGGAGGAGGAGAGGGGATGCCGAGTTAGCAGATGAGGGAGGGGGGTGGAGGCTGAACAAGGCTCATATTGATGTTCCAAACACAGCTGCAAGCGTCAGCTGACTCGCTGGCCTGAAAGCTCTGCCTCCTGCCTTTATCAGCTTACACTGCGACCTTTCTCTCTCTCTCTCTCCGCTGGAAAAGATCCCTTCCTCAACCCCATGAACCTACAGCCCCTCCCCTCAGAGCTGACCCTTCGACACATACTGTCCATGAGTTTGGAGTCCGTCTGTCCTCGCCGACATCTGAACCGGGGGGTTTATATCCTTCAGAAACACTGGCTCTGTTTTCAACTCATCAGCACTTTCGTTTGTCTCACACGGCTCGGTTTTCAGGCCTCGCCCCGCGCTCTTACACAACCCACCATGAAGTCACTGTCGCTGCTCACGTCCACACCCGGTGGCGGCAGGATGAAGGGCCTCGGCTGCTTGTCTGCTCGGCAGGATTGTCCTCTCATTGCAAACTACCAAATCAAATATAAAAACGTTCATCTTGATGGAGCAGTTTGAAAGAATTCACTCCTGCAGTTCTCCAGATATACAATTCTGACATGCGGGTCTGCACTCAATGTAAACAAATCACTTTCTGAGTGTAAATATGTACAGATACAACAGAATCATCTGACCTCTAGTTATATAACAGATCTTCCATTTGTGGGGCCGACGTTACTTACAAAATGCAGAAAAATGTAACATTTATAAATATTTCTACATAAAATAACACGTCACCATGTAGCTAACGTATAGCTCCTTTTAGCTTGCAGCTCTTGCTTAGCTCTTTAGAACCTGTAGCTTGTCTTGCACCTTTTATCTCATCATAATTCTTCTCCTTAGTATGTAGCTTTAGCTCCTTTAAGCCTGTAGCAACTTTTAGCTTGTTAGTCCTTTGCTACTTATGTCTTGTAGCTTTTGCTACTTGTAGCATTTAGGTACAATGCTAGCTACTGGCTTTTATTTTGCTCCTTTAAGCATGAAGTGTGTGTTCTATTATATTTAGCTTGTAGCTAGCCCTTTGCTACATTTAGCTAGTGTTATCTTTGTTTTTCTGCGCATAGGTCGCATTTCAGCTGATTTTAGTATGTAGCTCCTTTTTTACTTTTAGCTAGATGTAAATTCTTGAAGCAAGAGTTTAGGGTCTCCTAGCTGACATTTACCTCGTTGTAGCTTTAATGTAGCATTTAGCTCCTTTTAGCTCATATTTTGCTCCTTTTAGCTTGAAGTGTGTGTTCTATGGTACTTAGCTTGTAGCTAGCCCTTTGCTACTTTTAGCTAGTGTTATCTTTGTTTTTCTACATGTAGCTAGCATTTAGCTGATTTTAGCATGTAGCTCCTTCTTTTACTTTTAGCTGGATGTATCTTCTTGTAGCAAGAGTTTAGGGCCTCCTAGCTGACATTTACCACGTTGTAGCTTTAATGTAGCATTTAGCTCTTTTAAGCTCATATTTTGCTCCTTGTAGCTCATGTTCTTATTTTCAGCCAACAAGAGATCTTGTCACTTTTCCCTTGCAGTTGCTACTTTTATTTGTAGCTAACCTTTTGCTAACATTTAGCTTTATTAGCTTGTGGTTCTTGTTTTCTTCTTTATAAATAGTAGCTGTTGGCTCAGCTAGCATGCAGCCTTGCGCCTCTTCTCTGGCATTTTGCCACGTTTAGGCTTTAGCTGACGAGTGGAGTTTGAACCCAGTTGGCGAGACGTCAGGCGCGCCGGTTGACGTTAGCAACAGTTCAGGGGGAGTTTGCTGCAGCAGCTGTTCTCAGGAGTCGCTCCCCGAGGGGCAGTAATCAGCAGAGCTGACTGTCAATCACAGCTCTGCGGGCCTCGTGGGCCTTTTCTCAGAAACACGCCTCCTCCGGGCCTCGCAGATCACCTCCCCTTGATGACGCTCCTTCCACTGTTGCTGGATAGTGTTTCTATGGGAGCTGTCCTCCCACGCACACACAGCAGTGCCTCCCCACCTCCTCCTCCCCCACAACTGTTTGCAGGAAAACACTCATCCTTCTCTGGAGATGTCGCTCGCGGCAGCTCTTGCACTCATAAATCTCCAGCTCTTTTCTGGGAAATGAAGGACTTGAAAGATACGTACATTTACACACACTGAGGAGAGGGGGAAGGACACAACTCGCCAAGTAAATCCATCTGACATTGAAGAGGTTGGATTGGACGTCTGCCTTCTGTGGGAGACAAATAAGGAGCATATTCTCTATCCCCCCCCCACC